CAGTGGGGCTGGCCCAGGGTGAGGGTGGAAAGGGAGGGGGGAGAGAGGAGTCGGCCAGTGGGGAGTGGGACAGTTCAGGGCACATGCAGATCCTGATAAAAATGTAAAAGCAGTGCCTTTTAAATATCCCCACTGCTGACAGTGAAGTTTAAAGACACTACAATGTGTCAGAATGGAGAGAACGTGGTGCATTCACCATCCGGAATGAGAATAAGGATAAAAAATTCCAAAGATGGTGTCAGCTTTCTGAAAATAAATGAGCCCCTTTTCAATACATGATGTGGTGGTGCAGGGTTTTATTGGATTACAGTACATTTTTCCAATCCATATTCCCTTAACTTGCTGGTAAGAATGTTGTGGGTAGCCGTATCAAAAACTTTGCTAAAGGTGGCCCTGGGGGCTTTGGGAGGACCAAAAACAACGTATTTGCATATTTGTCATTTGCTTAATGAATATGCAAATATGCAAATGAATGTTACGGGTCCTCCGAAAGCTCGTAAATGGATATACTGGTCCCCCTGTAAAAAAGTTTGGGAACACCTATCTTAAGGTATTGGCGGTGATTTCAAAACTGGATCTCAGTTTTGCAAATCTTAAGGTATTGCCGGTGATTTCAAAACTGGATCTCAGTTTTACAACGTTGGCTCATTTCTTGTTTTACAAATGTGCATATTATTACATCCTAAATATTATTCATCATTATTCATAATTAATTGTGAATTACTTGAGATGGAATGTGAGGCAGCAAATGTAGAAAACTGTCTTCTAGCCATTGCAGTTGACAGAGGATGCCTGAACCTTTTTACCGCTACAAAAAGTCAGGCAGGGCCTGCTTTGATGACTGTAGCATAGCTTATGTCTACAACACTATGAGCTAAGGGTGTGTGTTTCAGCTTGTGTACAGACTTGTACCTGCTCAGATCTGAGCTAATATGCTGCTTGTACAGCAGCAGCAACACTGGCAGCTGGAGCAGAAGCATGACTTAGCCATTCCAACTACCAACCTGCCTGAAACTGGTGAGGATGAACATGGTATGGCTAAGCCATGCCTTCACTGCAGCTATCCAGGCTACTGACATTGCTATTTATATTCCTGCTAACTCTTGTTGCGCTAGCCCAAGTATGGGTCTGCAAGCATGAAAAACCATCCCTAGCTCCTAGAGCAGACGCAATCTTAGTGTGTGTATCTCTGACATTTGCGGGAGGGAGGGAAGCCAAGTAACTTTCCCAGAATTTTGTTCCTGAGAACTCGTCTACATTAGAAAGCGTTGTCCTTTTAACTCTGCTGGGATAGTTAAGTGTCTCAACTGCTCAGTTATATTGGTATAAAAGTGCTTATATCAGTGTAGCTTTTTCCTGTATGGGACGCGAACCAAGCTATGCTGATAAAATCCACACTAGTGCTTATAGGAGTATAACACATACAAATCACAGACCTTTCCAACATAAGTATTATAATACACCTTTTCTGGGGGAGACCAGACCAAATATTTGTTATTAGCAATGGAGGGATGATAGGAGTTACTATAGAGAACTTTCTGGGTGTCTGGCTGGTGAGTCTTGCCCACATGCTCAGGGTTTAGCTGATCACCATATTTGGGGTCGGGAAGGAATTTTCCTCCAAGGTGGATTGGCAGAGGCCCTGGAGGTTTTTCGCCTTCCTCTGTAGCATGGGGTACAGATCACAGCTGGAGGAGTCTCTGCATCTTGGGGTCTTCAAGGTATTTGAAGGCTTCAATATCTGAGATATAGGTGAGAGGATTATTCTAGGAGGGGGTGGGTGAGATTCTGTGGCCTGCACTGTGCAGGGGGTCAGACTAGATTATCATAATGGTCCCTTCTGACCCTAAAGTCTATGAGTCTGAGTCTATTTACATAAAATGTTATGAGATATTAATCTGTCCATACAACTGTGATTATTGCTAGTGACATCATTTGAGTTAACAACGTGACGATGTTTCTAAGCTCCATAAGCTGATGTAACTCTTTTCTTTCCTTATAGGTTAAATGGACTAGCTGGCTCTCATTCTAAGGGAACCTATTGGATATAGCTTGCTTGAATTAAGTCTCTATTGTATGTCAAAATGATTTCTCAAAACCGGAAGTGGCTCTGAAAGTGATGGAAACAGCATAAAAATGTTAATCTAACAGCCTGAGAGAGAATTTTCTACTGATCTGTTTGTAATTTAAATCCGTAACTGAAGCATGCACAGTAGTTAAACTGGTTGAAGAGAAAACTTGCTCCTTAATACAACTGTCAAAAAAGCAGTCACTTGAAATTTCAAAATGAGTGCACCAGTGGTTCCAAGTGAGCCATGTTACACCCAGCTACAGGACAACAGAAATGAAATAAAAAATAACAATGAAAGCATAGTAAGTGTGGGAGATACAAATGCCAACCAAATTGTGACAAAGGTCAGAAGCACTGAAGGGGAGGTGAAGAGATGTGATTTCACAGTTGATTCTGGAAGTTTGCATACTGGTGGATCAGAGAACATTACACAGTTGAATACAGAGCAGAAAAAACTTCTGGTCTTTAAACAATCTCAGATTGGTGATACCAATGTACAAGAATTTAGGTTGCCTTCTACTGGAAGCAAGGAATTAGATAAATGTTTCAGGACTGCTGAAGTTAAGGATACTTCAAAGAATATTCTTATTAGCCGAGGACAAAGTCTATCTAATTTGAAGAGTAGTGCAAATAATACCTGTTCAGGGGTTCTTTTAAAAGATGATGTTGAATTTACCCAGCATATATCCAAGGACCATGGAAAAATAATCAGGACCATGGAAGCTGAAGGAATAAAAAGGCTTTCTTTGGGACGATCAAGTAAATTTTCTACTAAAACAGAAGCATTTTCAAAAGAACGTGTGTCATGTAAACGTTCACTTTCTGCATCACTGGATTCCATTGATACATCACATCATTTGATTGGTGATACTGAGAAATCACAGCAAACATCAACGGATCATTTTCTAGGTATGGTTTTTCATCCACTTGACAATACCTCAGAGGACAATACGGTGTTTTATTCAAAATCATCTACCTCAGAAAACAAGAAAGTAAATATCCCAGAGATCCAGATGGACATGGAAGATGTACCAAATGCTAACAGTGAAAGCACACTGCAGCCGACTGACATAGATCTGAATTTACATGGTAAGCCCAATGAAATCTCTAGTAAGTCAGAAGCACAATTAGAACAAGGTGATAAAAGTAAAAAACTGGAGATAAAAAATCCACCACATGTACCATCTAAAAATATTTGTCAACAAAAAATTGAGAGAATTATGTTGGTAGAATTTCTAGGATGTCAAACAGAAGAAAGTTCATTAGTACCAGAAAAGAAAGGATGTGGAGCTAAAGTTTCCAAAATGCAAGCTCCCCAGTTTCAAGACTTTTGTAGTAAAGTAGGAGATCCACTCTTAAACCAAGTGGTAGCCTATGCTGAGGACAGACTTCTAAGTGGAAACACCACCTGCCCTGGGTTAGGAAGAAGTAATGATGATGAAAACAGGGCATCTAATCAAGGTAGTCAGGAATACATAACAGACGAAGAAATTGGATCTGTATTTCCTCTTACTGATGATAGCAAATCCAGTGGCAAACTAACACCTACAAGAAATAGAAACTTACTTGAAGCTGGTACAAGTTGCATTCAAACAGTTGGTGGGCATATATCTTTTCTACATAACGTAAGTCTCCCTTACAGCAAAACCATGAAAGCTAATGAGAATAAATTGATGCTAGTCAAAGGGAACACTGAAAACACCACAGTGTCTGCCTCAGATCTCTCAGATCAACACAGAGTGCTTAGTACTGAAACAATGTCAAACAATCAGCCGAACAACCAGGACAGTGATATGGAAATCGCAAGCTTTTCAGTCCAGAATAAAAAGACTGCTATTGCAAAGAAATATCTTTCAGATGAAACATCAGAGAGTTATAAAATTTCAGCGAGGGCTGATGCCTTTTTCTGTGTCCCAACTTCCTTGCGCCCAATGGCAACTGTGAATGTTAATAATCAGCCCACAATTTCAAACAGCAGCTTAAAGGATCTTTATGCACTTCATGTTGACAAGCTGTCACCGTCCTCAGTCCTACCTCCCATTGACAGTACACAATTGTTAAACATATCCCCTAAAGTGCCTAACAAGATGGCTGCCAACAGTGGAATCCCCAAACCAATCCTCGTCCATCCCAAGAGCTCCCTTACAGCCAAAGGTGATGTGGAGGGTGACTGCAGTGAAAAGCCTGAAGAAAACATTGAGATAAAGCCTGTTATGCCCAAACCCAAACATGTGAGACCTAAGATTATCACTTATATTCGAAGAAATCCTCAGTCTATAGACCATCTTGACCCTTCCTTTGCCTCAACCGAGCTGCCCTATGGCCCCTCTGTGTGCAGTATGCCCATGGCAAAAGAACAGCAGATATTGAGTGGGGGGGATATTAAACCATCCAACATCCTGTATGATAAATATAAATCTGATGTGCAGAAGCCGAGAATCTATAGTTCAGGACTTGTGGTATCAGGCATTAAACCCCCAGGACATCATTTTGGCCAAATGAGTGAAAAGTTTCTACAGGAGGTAAGGAGCTAATCACCTCTTTTGTACACTTATGGATGTTTGTTTGCTTGCTTGTTTCTTTGAGGAAAACAGCAGAGACTTGCTGTAAAACAAAAACAGGAGATCAATACTTGGAAACATACATAGTATCAGGAGCTTTTGTGGGCAAAACTCACTTCAGATAAGCTTGAGTCAGATGAGCTTAACTCTGTTGTCATACGTGGGCCTGAGCATGGCCTTTTGAAGAGACAGCTATAGAAAATGGTCACTATATTCTGGTAAACAGCAGAGCTCTTCCTCCTCCAGAGGAAGGTTTACTTGGCAGTCCAGCAAGCTCTCTGGACTGGTGATATGCAGTAGGACTAGAAGAGTTTGCCTCTCTATGGAATGAGCAGAAAAGCAGGGACTTTAAAGCTGCTGTTAAACAATTTATAATATTTAGTAAAATGGTTATGTTTTGTTTCATTTTAAAGTAGGCAGGTAAATTAACCATTCTCTCAAAATAATTGAATTTTCCTTTCCCCAGCTTTGGAAGTCCTTGTTTTGCCATGCAGTCGAAGGCTAACTGAATTCCCTATGCCCTGTACAGTATCGCCTTGCCAAGATGTCAGCTTCCAGTTTGATAATTCTGGGCAAGATCATGGTTCACTTTCCTGACCTGCACTAAGGAGTGTGGGAGAGCCAAGAAACCTTACACCCTGAACAGGCTGTCCACAGTGTCAGATACAGAGCTGCTTCTGTGCCACTATGCTCCCTCCAGTGCAGTTGGGCTGGAGTGAGAAAGCAGGGGTCCCAATTGGGTCACTTGGCTAGTTGGTAGGCCAGCTCCTTACTGTCCCTTGCTTAGGACTTGTGGTGCATTATGATAGTCTTTACATGGTCACACACTTTTTTTCCCACATTCTCCTTGCTTCCCATTCATATACTTCCAGTGCACAGGATGGAAGATGCTCACTGTATGAACAGCTATTTGATATTTTGTTTTATCCTCATTACTGTGTGGCCCTAGGCCTTATTAACCAACATCCAATTCAATCCCCTCTCTGAAGAGGGAATTATTAATTTCTAATGAGCTTGTAGTTGGCATTCATCACCTTAGTATCTGCGAGCTTCACAAATATTAATTTATTTTTGTAATATTCCCTGTCAAGTATGGTGGTATTTTTATTCCCTCCTTACAGTCGGGGAACTGAGGTACAGAAATTAAGGCCCAGCGTATCTAAAGTAGCCATTAGTTTCAGATGCTATAACAGACCTAAGGGCAGTGGGCCTTGGGTTTAGGCACCCCTACTCTAAAGTATGGCACCATTAATTCAGGTATTCAGGAAGAATCAGCAGGGATTGGGGCCTATTGACAGTCAGATGACCACCCCTAAGCATTATGAAGGACCAGTTTTAGCTCAGTGGAGGGGAAAGCCAAGAAGTAGGAGAGATGAGTGTGAGGGGATAGAACCAGAATTCTGATGAGCTAGGGAGGCCTTTTGAGATTAAAGTATGGTCCCAGGAAAAAAGGTCTGTGGATACATGGTTCAAAGAGGGAAGTCATTTTAGGTGAGGAATGGAGCTGAAAAGCCCTGAGGGAAAAGAGAGGTCAGGCTGGTATACAGGAAGAAGCTCTAGGAAGGAACAGTAGAACGAGCCTGTGTTTGAGTTCCATGGCATATATTCCAGTAGGTTAGCATTTGCAGGGCAAAAACCCACAGTAGAGATTAGGTGTGGGTTCTTCCAGTACTGCCACTCTGAGGGGATGCAGAACCCTTGCTATTAAGGGGAGAGAAAAGGGACTAACTAGAGTCCAGGAAAGCTGGAAGTTGAGCCCATAAGAAGGGCCAAAGACTGTTGTATGGAACAGTTATACCCCATGGAGAAATGTTGTGCCTGGCAGAAGTCCAGGGTGAAAGACTGATGCTGTTTTTTTTTACTTTGGACTGTGGTTACCCTGGAAGGAGTGGCATTATGTACTGCTTCCCACCCCCACCCCTCTGATTCAAAGTTCTTGCTTCAAAGCATGGAGGGCAGTAGAACCGCTCAATGAAAGGGATATAAGAATTTTATTGTACATGGGCCAAATAACATAATTTTCCCTGTTGTGCAGTGTAGTTGGATCTATGTCGGTCCTGCCTTTTATTGTTTCTCACCGATGGACATAGGGCCAATAAAATATATTACCCACCTTGTCTCTAAAATGTTTTCTTATCTCATTCTCAGAAATGGCTAAACAAAAACAACAAACAAAAAAATCACCAGAGTGCATACCCCCAACAAGGAAAAGCTTGTCCTGAAAATAAAGTTTACTGAAAGTAAAATTTGTTAAGTCTTAAAATGGAAAATCTTAAGTACAGCATTGCTACTGGTGCTGTTTGGAAAGAGCCATACTGTGGAAGTTTCTTTAGCTAATATGCACTTACTGCTGTCTTGTCAGTAAGTGACTGAGGTCTTCTTCAGCACATTGGCTGATACACAGAGTGAGTAGGAGATATTTATTGCTCATCAGGGCAAATAAAATCAGAATACAATTATAGGAGTCGGGAGCTTTAATAGGATGTATCAGTTTATTCTTTAAAAGCCCCAAACTGCTAATGCAGAACACTAGCACAGCCTGTCTTAGGTGTTCTCCCAGTATTTAAACAGCCAGTGTGCTAATAAGCCAAACCTAGACTTGTAATGAGGTACAACTCCACTGAAGCCAATCAAATTATACTCTATCTATAAAGCCCTGCAAATCCATTTTATATTCACATCCATGGATATGCAAGGCTCATTTTTGCAGATACAGATGTGGATGCAGCAGATATAAATTTTTTATCCACGCAGGGCTCTACCTATTTATCCCAAACTACAAATTGTAAAAAGGACTCAATCTCCAAACAGCAATCTTGTCTCACTCAGAATAGGTGGTGTTATTTTTTTAAACCAACGTATTTAAGTTTTTGCTGAGAAATGATCAGCCAAGTCCTTCTTGATTCCATCAGAGGATATATTTTA